CCGCAGCACCCACCTGGGCATGCAGCCTGCTGGCATGGTGGCCTACTGATAGGCCATCCTGGACCTTGCCCTGGATCAACTTGCATAACCCTATAAAATCTTTCTGTTCTGAAAGAGTGAAAACACATGGGAAGGAATCATTGTTTTTAAGCAAAGGACAGTTGAGGATTGAGGGATATTATAGGATCAGGATATCACCAACTGAGTCTCAAAAACTGGGATCTACTGGAGTCTACATTCAGCTCGAAACCTACTTGCGTGACAAGAAATGAGAGCATGGGGTTTCATGTAGACATTATGTAGATGAGTATTCAAACCAGAGACAGAATGATGGACTGTTCTGAGAAAACAACAAGTTGGTTAGATTTCTAGAGGAAATCTAGACATTGAGATTCTCTGAACAAGACAGGGATGGGAAGGCAGCAGTACTGCTCTGTTTCCTGGGGAGTTCAAGAGCACCAATGCTACATTCTGGGACTAGTAATGCCTTCACTGCACCTGTGACCAATTATTTGCTGTTTCCCAAGTATTTTCAAATCTATCATCTCGTTTGACCCTCATGCTGTCCTGCCAGAGTTCACACATTCATTTATTCCTTCATTTCATATTTATCAGTGTCTTCTCGGGTGGCTGCACCTTGCCAGGCTAGATGAGCTTGCAGATTGATGCTCATTTCCTAAACGAGCAGACCGAGGTCTGGACAGGTGTTAGGTGGTTGGCCCCCATTCCAAGGCTAGCGGAGGCGGAGCCGGACAAGACCAGAGAACTTTCAGACCCTGCACTCTCCTCTGTCCCCTCCCTCCGTCTCACCCTCCTTTACTCAGCCAGCCAGTGAAACCGCCATCCCTTTAGTCACCTCTGCTCTGCAGAGACCAAAACGCCAGGGTGGCATCGATGCTGTTGGATTATTTGCACACGAGTCTGCACTAGGACAAGCCATGAAAGGATGTCAAATGCGAGAGGGGAAAAGGCAGCATACCTGAACGCTCACGGGCCGAGTACCTGCAAGCTGGCATCGGCTGTGCAGCCTGCATGAAGGGAGCACCCAGTGACTCCAGGAGGGGTGGTGTCGTTTTCTATCACTATTATAACTGTGACGGGTGCTCTCTGTATCTCCATTTAACCCATAGATTGGCCCTCACACTCCTTTCCCTCTGTAAAGCCAGCTGACCGCAGCTTGCGCACACTGATCACTATAAGTAAGGGGTCACTCTGGAATACCCAGGCCCTCTGCTGCCGCCTGGAGGGTGACCGTGTTTCCTGAGCTCCGTCCTGAGAGTGTGAGCTGATCCGGTTGTAAGTCTAAAAGCAACTGTTACATTAACTGGTGCAAAGAAAGGTGGATAAGCATGAGAATTGTTTCTGTGGAAACTGTTGAACACTCCAGGACAATTATCAAAAGGAGTCCCTGAAAATTTTTGCTACTGAGGTTGAGGAGCATGAGACAACAATGAAAGATTTGAGGGAATAAAACTCTGGGAGGATTCTGTACTTAGACTGCTTGGCAAGTGACTTAGTTCTCATTCCACTTAAAAAAAATCAAAACAAAACCGGAGATTGTAGGCAAAGCATTCAAGGTGTAATCGATCCTGTCAGTAGCCCTTTTCCGAGAGGAACAGGCCTCGGTTCTACATCAGAAACTTGGTGTTGAAATTTTTACAGCAAGAGGAAAGTGGCTTGACTATCAGGAAAACATGCAGGATCCATCCTGAGTAGCTCCTTGTTACTCAGTGTTTCACCAAATCGTTCTTTATTAATAGAGAAAATTAGATTGGCCAACACTTGTGCAATATCAAAACATGTCCAAGTTATAAGATATTACCTTCAAAAAGAGTGATGCTAACTAAGAGCATCAATGGGGGAAAAGCCCAGAGCAATACTCCTAAGAGGACAGGCTATGTAATATCCAGGGCCCAGTGAAAAATGAAAATATGAGGCCCCTTGTGCAAGAATTAGTAAGAATTTCAAGATGATGACAGCAGAGTATTAAACCAAGTGTGGGGCCCATCTGAGCACTCCGTGTGACTAGCAAATCAGAGCTTTTACAAGAAGTCCAGTTGGTACCAGTTTACTATTCATAAAAGTCAGCATGGAAGGAATGGACTTGGACTTGATTAAGGTTGTTTTTGTCATTAATTGTACCTTTGATAAAGAAACGCGTAAAGAATAAAATTGTTTGAGAAGCTCATATTCTTTCTAGGTAATTTTCTTTACCTCCTAACCATCAGGAATGTGGAGGCCTTGTTCTCGTCCCCCCCCCCCCCCAAGAATAATATTCTTTATCCAATCTATAAATCAAAGGATTCTGAAATGTTTAAATATATCTTTTAGGCAAAGGGTTGAGATCCATTTGAGGGAGAAAAAAAAAACAAAAGAATATAGACCCTATAAGTTACATCAAAGATAGTGTTTGCCGTGAGGTATTGTTTCCATGCCATTTGGCATGGCATGAAATTCTTAAGGTGAAAAATGTCACACAAATTCTTGTGTGCAAGATGATGGTAAAAACATGGGTTTTTACCTGAGTTCAGACAAACTGAAGATTCTGACAAGGAAAGAGGTCAACAACAGTGGATTCACGATGATCTGTTGGAAAGTAATATTTTGAATGATGGAGAAATCACATGTAGCATGACGTAAAGAGATACATCTCAGTAGGAAAGGAAGAAAAAGAGGTGAGATCAAATTTTAAAATGTACGTCAATCACCCAGTGGCGAGGATGGCCTCTGTGTAATTTTACACTGGATTGGAGAACACAGAGCCAGCAGTTCGTGACTTGTAATAATTAAAAACGAAAGGAACTATGCTGAGAAAATCAGACTTCTAAGCAACCAATAATCACTGGTTTTATTACGTAAACATGGTCTATTTTAAATGAGAATAGAATGTGAATGGTATATGCACGTTTTTAGTTTCTCGCTTTGACTTTTTCTGTAACTAACTAGTGATCCCTTAACCAGGGGGACTTCTGTGTCACCATGCTTGCTCATTCTGCTGCCACCCCAGTAGGAGTCCTTATATCAGCCCTAGTCAGGAGTTGCTGAGTTACTTGAAGAGTCATTTAGAAGTTCACATCTTAAACAGCTCTTTTTAAATTAAAACATATAATGTACATTCACACACCAAAGATTTTTTAGTATCGGGTCATACGTATTGGCTGCTTATAGTTTCCTGAGCCTTCACTTACATTGACAACGGCATCTTAGCTCCCAGTTTCTATTTGTTTAGGGTGCAAAGAGAAATTATCAACATTTGCAAAACACGTTTGAGTGCAAAGTCCTTCTGGACTTTTAATGTCTTTTTGTTTTGTTTACTTTTTCCAACAGTTGCCTTGCCCATACCACACCAGCTCAGCAGTTAGGTGATGTGTTCTTTTGTTTTGTGTTTAGCGACTCACTTTTCATTCGATTTCCTCATGAGTTCAACTGGTAAAAACGTGCTTGAAAACTAACTTGGTAACTAGTGGGAGCAGAAAGGCCTAGACATACTAGAGAGCAGATCCCTAGCTTGGAGTTCACTGTCTGTTATGAGCACCTGCCAGTATATTTTAGAGGGAACCGAGAAGAACGTGGGTCAGTCTGGCTAGCTGGTGAATGGAAATACTATCTGGTCTCCCCCATGTTGCCTGGAGGGATATTAGGCAAATAAATTCCCTCACTACCCATCTGGGAATATACCCCATACGACTGTCTAAGGGAGAAATAGCGTGAGTCGCAAATCTTCCCATATGACAAATCCCTGCATTTTCATGGGCCACTGTGCCCCAGTCCCAGCTTCTCTACAGGTACCCTGTGGGTGAAGGGAAGGCTCCCCAAAGGGATATCCTGTATGTTGTTGGTATTTTAGACCATCCCAAACATGCCTTCCAAATTTGGAGAGGCTCTCTTCATGTGGTGTGGCAACAGAACCAAATTTATTTGTGTAAATCATTACTAAGCGGTGTCACATAGGGAAGAAAAAAGATGACGTTCACAGTGAGGAACCGCTTTGATGATCTCTGGTCAGACAAAAGTTCTGTTTGTGATGCTGAGTGTTGGGAGCACTTCTGTATCTGCTTGGTTTGCGGCATTTATTTTCAGTTTTCACCTGGGACATTTTTAGGGCATCATTCTTTTAAAATAGAAGAAGAATACAAGGTTGCAGTTTTCCTAGCATTTATGGAACCTCCTGTTTGTTTTCCAAAAGGCCCATTAATTAAAGACAAGCTAAATCCCGTGTCCCTCGGAGAACTGATAATAGAGCCCCACAGGGACAGAACACTCTTCAGTGTTCAGAAGAAAGGAGTGATTTATAGGATTGATTTTTCCCCCATGTTAGTCTTCTGAATCTCTTTCATTTTTTTCCAGGAGTAAAAAAAAATGTTAAGAAGATTGATTAACTTCTGCTAAATACTGAGCCCGGGTGGCCTGGTGGCCTTCCAGGGCTGAGCTGGTAGGGACCTCCAGGGAAGGTGGGAGGCACAAAGGCACCCAGGGTGACAGAGGCCTCAGATGTGAGATTGGTCAGAGAGGAGGCCGGGCTGAGGTTGGCTCCAGAGGCCTAACAAGGTGACAACCTTCCCTTCAGCCTTCATTTTCCTTCCTGATACGTTCGACCACGGCTTAGCCATTGGCGGTTTGCTGCACATGGATCACACGTGGACACACACACCCTGCTGTAGCATCTGAGTCTTGTCTGAGTCTACAGTCCGGGTGCGCTCCTGCCAGTACTCCCAGAATGCCATGCGGCAAGTGACAAAACTTGAGCAGGGCCCATCGTCTGGCTCGTCTTCCCTTGTCTTCACCCTTCTCTTTTCTCGTGTTTTCTTGTCTCCTGTGTCTCTCTCCCTTCCTCCTGGGCCTCAGGCCTGGTAAGAGCCTGATGCATTTAGGAGACATGTCGGGGAGCAGGGGCGGCCCTCACCCCTCCATTCGCTGGGAAACTTCCCTCTCCTAAGATCCAGTTCTCTTCTTGAACCGATGACTCACCCTCTCCGTGTTCTCTCTTCCTCTCCCTGTAGGAAATGTGACTGGAAACAGTAACTCCACGTTTATTTCCAGCGGGCAGGTGATGAATTTCAAGGGCGACATCATCGTGGTCTACGTTAGTCAGAACTCCCAGGAGGGCCCGGCGGGGCCAGGCGGAGGCGCCGGGGAGCCTGTGGGCCACCCCGTGCAAGAGGAGAGCCCGCCGTGCTGCGACTCGTTCGCGGGTCTCGGGCCGCGCTTCCCGGACACGTGTGGCGCCCCGGAGCCCGACAAGGCCTCGCGGCCGGTGCAGGAGCAGGGGGAGGCCGAGGCCCGCGCGCCCGGGGCGCAGCGCTGAGCGCCCAGATACCCACTGTGGCTCTCGGCGCCTCGGATCCCGGATGCCACCGGACCGGCCACGACTTCCCGGCCATCAGCTCATCCTCAGCGCCGGCACAACAGGGACCACGCACTTCCTCGGCGGCGCTGGCCACGTGGGCTGAGAGCACCTGCGCCGGGGCGGGGCGGGGCGGGGCGGGGCGGGGCGCGGCCGGGGGCGGGGCGGAGGGCGGGGCCCCGGATCTACGCCTTCACGCAGCTCCATTCGGTACTTCTGTGTCCCAGGGGCCCGACACGCTCTGCCCACTCTGCTCTTCGTAGAATCGGGGACTTTTTAAAAACGTAAATGTGTTATCACCGCTCACTGGCATCCAGTCACATATCAGCTAATGACTCAGGTACACGTTGCTCTGTTTGGTTGCTCCACTTTGTATTCCCTTTTATGGGTTTTCTTCCTGCCTCCCACCTGCCATTATCATTCATCAGTGCTTGGTCTCTTTATGACATCTGTTTTGATGGCGGTCCTGTTCTTTTTGGGTCTGTTTTTTCCCCCCTTCCTGTATTTGTATGTCACGTAATCTCAAGGTTTTTCTTGATACTCACCCCCCCTGCTCACCCCTCCGCCTCCCGTCCACTTTTTTACTATTTAAGGATTTTTCTTGAATTCTCCCAAGGTGATAGTCTTGACATATTTTCTGTCGCACCCCTTCTCATAAGCAGGTGCCTGTGTTTCAGGAGTGGCTGGAGGTGGGAGCCTGTACTAAGCACTTTTGGAAAAAGACTAGAAATGTGAAGCCTGGAGGGAGTCTCGGAACAAGTGAAGGGAGTTTTGGTGTTTGAAAACATCTCTGTGTTCCCATTTTTCTGAAAGAAGGAAAAAGGGAAACCCCGTTCTTCCCCTGCATGGTTTTACGTTTTGGCCATCGTTAGGCAGAAGTGAGCTACAGTGTGTGACTTCTTCCCCTGCACCCCCCAAATGTCCACACCTGGGGGTGTTTGTTTACCCGATCCAGCAGAGGCAGTCGGCTACTTTGGTAAATAAATCACTAAAAATGCGGGCTGCTGCACCTAGGCCTTCTTATTCTCGATGTCTCTCCGGAGAAGATGTGGGAACTGACTCGGGCTTGGAGACACAGTGAAAAGACCTACCAGGGCAGTTCAAGAGAGAAAGAATAAAGTTGAAAAGTTAATATGCATTTTCTTTCTCTAGATAAGAGTGGCATAAATGTGTTTAGGCATTAGGCCCTATTTTCCTCCTAAGTACTTGGGCATCTGTAATTTAGCCTTGTAGAAGTGGGAAACATTCCTGCAGTTTTCCAGTGCATTTAAATTAAAAACCAAATCCTCCTATCGTGAATGGAAGATCATAAAAATGCTTTTCTCTTAGCATCATACCTCTTGTGAGGAAACATATAGTGTAATTCAATTCGAAAGGAGTCACCTGGGTTGTTCCATTGATCATGGTCAGTGAATATTTGTTCTCCTCATATACTAGAGAAAAGTTAAACTACCTAAAATAAATCTTGCGGGTCTGGTAGGTCACTGTCCACTCTAATGGCCCAGCTGAAGGAAATGACCGTTGACCACCGGTTTCTCCCTACTGGTTGCTGTTCTCTTGGAAATGCTTCACTAGTAGCAGTCAATTACGATTTTTAATGGAGAAACAGACGGGGTGGCTTTATAATTTATGGAATTCCTTAGCTGATGTAAAAAATTGCAAGAAGAAACCGCATTGCCAGGATGATCAGTTGGTGGGAATTTACTGTCTGGTCTGCCCTTTCGGTTAACATTCATTCAAAGAAATGTTATGAAAAAGGAAGAAACCATGACAGTCATCCCTCGCTTCTCGCGGTTAATCCGTTCCAGACTCTAGCGGTTGCACCTGGCGTTGAAGGGTTCCTGGGGTGCTCGAATACATAGGCCTACCGTCCATACGTACAGTAATTTTAATTTTAATTGTAATACAGGGTGTATAATTGACTCAGACAACCGAGTGCACGCTGTATCATTTTCACTGTCTCGATCAACTTTTTAATGAATATATTTGAAAAAACCACAATAGAGTGAAGCTGTGAAGGTCGAAGTGGCGAGGGACGACTGTATACCTTTTGAGATGGACTATATTAAACAAAGAATAGTTCAAAGAGTAGAATGCTGAGCTAAAAACCCAAGTTTCTACTGTGACTGTCATTATCCTACTGATGTTACTTTACCTCTCTGTGCTTTCATTTTTCTTCCTATGAAAAGGCACTAATGATCATTTTTGACACTCTTCCTACCCAGAGATGACAAAAGGATAACCTCCTTACAAAAAGAGTGCTAAACAAATAAGAAGCTACTTTCAGAAAAGGGTAGTATTCTTATTCTTTCCCACACGGATCCCTACTAATTCTGTATTGATCCAAAGACAATTCATGATAGGAAATGTACAGCAATTATAGGTCTGTGTCTGTGTATTATAGAGATTTATGTGACAAATGTAAACAGAATGAAATGAAGGCAACAATGAAAACTTGTTTGTAAGAATGTGATAGATTGTAAAATGTATTTTTGACCATAAAAGATCTTTCTCATGGTTTGCTTAAACAGGGCTCTTTGTAAAACAATGATCTGTCTTATTCCTGATCTCGGTGGTGTGCCTTGGTATTAAATGCTGGTAATTCTGTGACTTTTTTTTATTTTCTTTTATTCTTTCCATCATCATTTATCCCATAATTTATTAAATGATGGTGGATTTATTCCCTCATTTAAAACCTCTATGACCTCTGCTATCTACCCCCAACCCCCGCCACCTGCCCCACCCCCCTAGCAGTCACCACACTCGTCCATGTCCAGGAGTTCCCCCCCCCCCCTCTTTTCGCCCAATTCCTCCAGGTTATGTTGTATCTTATTGGTGGAACCCTTGACAACTGAGTTGGGACAGAGCATGACTTGCTTTCTTTGATGATTTATCTGCTATTGATCTCATAAGAAATTTATTGAAAACAGAGTTGAAAGGGAAATGGAGTCTAATAGTTCCTACCCATATTTCACTCAGCTACCAGAAAAAGGAAAAAAAATAGATTTTTCTCTCTACCTATAAGAGCAAAGAGCAGTTTGAATGTGCTGCACTGGAACCTTCGTATGGTAGGGGGGAGAGGGTTCTCGCTAGGAAATAAACCATGCACGTAGTCAGGTAACCCCCACTACAGTCAGCACGGAGACCATTTCCATCAATGCACCAGGTTTCTCACAGTCTATCTCCTCTCCCCACCCCCAGCCCCTGGCAGCCGCTGAGCCTGTTCTCGGGCCCTAAGCCTTGCCTCTTCCACAGTAAAAGGACTCACACAGTGTGCAGCCTTGCGAGCTGGCCTCTCACTTAGCACAGTGCGTGTTGCGTGTGTCGGTAGTTGGCTTTGCATTGCTGAGTAGTCTTTCGCCTGGATCTACTGTAGTTTGTTTATCCATCACCAGGTGAGTAGCATTTCGGATATTTCCAGTTTGGGAATCTGCATAAACCTTCTCATACAGGTTTTTGTGTGGACATAGCTTTCTGTTTCTTTGGGTAAATACCTAGGAGTGGGGCTGCGAGACTGTATGGTCAATGTACGTTTGAACCGACTGCTCCCCTCCTTGCCAGCACTTGGCATTGTCCACACACTGACTCTAAAAACAGTTACAAATAGTTGCTAAGGTGCAGAGTTTGGTTTGTTTTGGTTTCCCAAACCAAGGCTTCTGTAGGTTTAGATCTAGCCAAAGAAGTTACTAATGAGATACAGCATTCTTCTGGGCAATTGCTGTCTTAAATTATGGCCTTTTCCCTCCTATTATTTAATTAAAACGTTTACCGCCAGCATCCTTGAAATCAAGCTGTAAGTAGGGCAGCAATTGGTCCTATGCTCAGGAGGTATTTTTAAACACTGAAATGAGGTTGTATTTTCTTTAAAGGAAGCTTTCAACTTCCTTCATGCTGTTTGGAAAGAACGTGAAGATTCCTGCGTTCTGGGGAAATCCGAAACTGTAATTAGAACAATGGCAACCTTGGACTGTTCTCATTTCTCTTGCAGGAAATGACTTTTTTTTTTTTTTTTAAGTTAGCCTTCTGTAGATACACACAGATTATCTACTTCCAGAATTATGTTCAACCAGTTTAGAATACTGAGTTGCTCCAATTTGCCTCTAATTCCCTTCACTGCCCCAGCCAACTGACACCCCCACCCCACCCCCCCTTCAATCCAGGCATGCTAGAAACTAATGTTAAATCATTAGCATTAGTCCAAAGGGAACAGAAATAGAGAACTCTGTCATCAAAGTCATTGTATAGCCCTGGCCAGTTTGGCTCAGCAGTTAGAGCATCAGCCCACAGACCAATGAGTCGAGGGTTTGATTCCGGTCAAGGGCACGCACGTACCTTGGTTGCAGTTTGTCCTCAGCCCTGGTTAGGTTGTGTGGGAGGTGCCAGTCGATGTGGCTCTATCACATCGATGTTTCTCTCTGTCTCTCTCCCTCCCTCCCACTCTATCTGATAATAAGTAGAAAAATATCCTTGGGTGAGGAATAAAAATAATAATAATAATAACTGTATAAGCCAGTATCAAGACAAATACTCATAGCTTGAAGTATTCACCATCTTTGGAACGTGGATTCTATCAATCTTCATTAGCCTGGGAAACAATAAAATGAAGATGTGTCAGCCACAGGTGACAGAGAAAGATGTGGAGGAGACACCTGGGCAGGAGTCTCCCTCCCGCCTTGGCCTGTTTCTCAGTAGCCTTCACAAGCCAAGTGAACAGTATTTGTAAAATCAGCCCCTAACAAGAAAACAGAGGTTTCTGTGAAGATTTGAGCTAACAGTCCCTGAAAGAATCATTGAATGTTTGAATTACTAGGTAGACAAGGATACTGGCTTAGCTTCAATAGAATACATTTGTACTACCTGTATGTCCTAAATGTTGCAAGGGACATGCAGATACTAAAAAATATTCCCTGTTTATCTGTAATGAAAATTTAACTGGACATCCTATATTTTCATTTGTTAGG